CTCTTGATTTCGAGTTAAACGGGAACTTTGGTCCAGTGTTACTTAGTTAACGTTTCCAAAAATTAAAATTAAATTAACTCTAGAACAGATTGGACTCAGATAAACTCTGAGAAAATGTTAAAATCTAAGTGGAAAAGTCTAAATGTGAGATTATAATCATGTCAGTTTTGCACAGAACTGATCTCCGTCGAAAACAATAAAGACCCGACTGCTCCCGTCCGGAATAACGGCTCGGAACGCTCCCAACGCGAAAAAACAAAACGGACGGAAATAGAAATATCCGTCCCAAACCCGAGATTATCCGGACGAGTCAAACGTGAGTGAATGCGTCGGTGTCAGGGGAACAGTCGGATCGTGCGGCGCGTTTGTCTCGGAGATGATCTAATTATTACGTTTCAGAGTGTCGTCTGTCACGGAGCGGCGAAGGGGAGGGAAAGGCGCCAGATCCCGTTTGTTTCCGCGTTTCCGAGCAGAATGTGACTCTTTACATAAGCAGCTCTCGGGGTCAAAATAAGTCCGCTGTGTTTTATTGTTTGGGAATCAGGGAGTGTGTGTTTGCATGCCAGTTGTTCAAATCCCAAATCCGAATCGACTTTATTTCTACAGTGCGTTCGTTCATCCGTTTTTGTTTTTTTGTTTTTTTTTTCAAAATAAAACCAAAAATAAGAAAATGAAAAAAACAGCGATTTTCTTCATTATTTGTCTCCAAAATCAGAACTAAACCAGGTCTCAACCAGGTCTAAACTAGGACTAAACCAGGTCTAAACCAGGACTAAACCAGGACTAAATGAAGATTAAACCAGGACTAAACCAGGACTAAACCAGGACTAAATGAAGATTAAACCAGGACTAAACCAGGACTAAATGAAGATTAAACCAGGACTAAACCAGGACTAAACCAGGACTGAACCAGTACTAAACCAGGACTAAATGAAGATTAAACCAGGACTAAACCAGGACTAAATGAAGATTAAACCAGGACTAAACCAGGACTAAACCAGGACTGAACCAGTACTAAACCAGGACTAAATGAAGATTAAGCCAGGACCAAACCAGGACTAAACCAGGACTGAACCAGGACTAAACCAGGACTAAATGAAGATTAAACCAGGACCAAACCAGGACTAAACCAGGACTAAATGAAGATTAAACCAGGACTAAACCAGGATTAAAACCAGGACTGAACCAGGACTAAACCAGGACTAAATGAAGATTAAACCAGGACTAAACCAGGATTAAAACCAGGATTAAACCAGGACTAAGACAGAACTAAACCAGGTCTAAACAAAGACTAAACCAGGACTAAACCAGGACTAAACCAGGTCTAAACAAAGACTAAACCAGGACTAAACCAGGTCTAAACAAAGACTAAACCAGGACTAAACCAGGACTGAGACTGGGACCAGATCGGGACCAGACTGGGACTGAGACCAGGACTGAGACTAGGACCAGACCAAGACTGAGACGGTTTAGACCTGGTTCAGTCCTGGTTCAGTCCTGGACAAATAATGAAGAAAACAGTTTTTTCATTTTCTTATTTTTGGTTTTATTTTGAAAAACGAATGAACGAATGACACATGGATTATTAACAAAAAGGTGAATTGCTAAAAATGTGATCATAGCGGTCCTAAAACAACAAAACGAGTAAAATAAAAATGAATAAATTGCAATAAATAAGTAAAATAAATAAAAGACACTGGACCACATGACTCACGCGGTGTTAAAAGCCACAGAGGAAAAGTGGGTTTTAAAACAAGACTAAAAACACTCCGATTGTTGTTTATGTTGATAGAAAAAACTCACCTGTGGTCTTTGAAAGTTGTGAAAAGCGTTTATAATCTCATCGTGGTGAATAATTAGGATGTTCTAAATGCAAAAGGGAAGTGAGGAAGAACTATGGGCCACTGCAAACTGTTTTTAATTGACTAGTTCTGTTTTTTCACGTTTTGAAGACAGTAAAAATCAGGTACAATCAAGGAAAACTCAGGTAAAATCAAGGAAAAATCTGGAAAAAATAAAGTAAAATCAAGTAAAAATCAGGTACAATCAAGGAAAACTCAGGTAAAATCAAGGAAAAATCTGGAAAAAATAAAGTTAAATCAAGTAAAAATCAGGTAAAAATCTGGTGAAATCAGGTTAAATCAGGTAAAAATCTGGTAAAATCAGGTAAAAAATCTGGTGAAATCAGGTAAAATCAGGTAATATCAAGTAAAAATCAGATAAAAATCCTTTAAGACACACAATAATACAAATATTTATACTTTTTATTGCCTTTTTCCTATTCTGACTTGAAGTTTAAAAAGTATTAGTATTAGTATTAGTATTATTAAGTTATATTCTTTGTTACTTACTTTTTATAAGAGCCACAACATAAAAATTTGAATTTAATGAAACAGAAATTTTATTATTATTACCTAAATATGTCTTTACAGTTGACCTGGTAACTTTGTAAGATTAAACTAATTTTTTATTTTAATATTTTAGCCAAAAAAACAGAAGCAAAATTACCAAAATATTAGAGAGACAATTATTTATTCGTGTATTTATTTATTTAATAACAAAGAGCAAATAAATTATGTAAAAAAAAATCAAAATTTAAAACAAATCGTAAACGGAATTGTCTGTAAATGTTGTTTTTAATGAGCTACAGCGAACAAAATCGAATCGTAAATGACATATTGACACTTTGCAGCTGATGTCGTCAATATTCTCTGGGGGTTTTCCTGGACGCTAACTGGAGGCACTGCTCTGTCTGAAGCTCACAGACTCAAGTTGGACTTTAATCTGAGTTTTATTTTAACACAATCTGAGCTTTTTGTTGAAAACGAAAACTCCAAAACAGAACCGTGAACCCTATTTTATGTCTTTTTTGGCGGTGTTTGCTATTGTGTCACCATGGTAACTGTTAAACATTCGACCATAGACACACATGCAGAACCCCCCCAGCGTGACGTCACTGCAAAGTATCAATAACTGAACCTGTACTGAAGTATTATTTATCCTAGTGTTGAGTTTAGATTCATTGTAGAGTCAATTCTGGCTTCTTCTCAAATCAAACTACACTGAATTAAGAAAGTTTTATCGTGATTTGAGTAAATTTCACTTGAAAAACAATGGAATAAGACTTTTTTAAACATGAAAATACATCTTGCTACATTTAAGAGAAGAAAAACAACAACTCTTTACACTTAAAAAGCTCATATTACGCTATTTTCTGATGTTATAATGTCATTTCCTTGTCGCAAACAGACCTGGAGTTGTGTTTTTTTTTTCATTCGCACATTTTTAACACACAAACCTGCAGATTTCGGCTAAGCTCTTTGTTCCTCGTGACCTTGTGATGTCATGAGGTGATACAGAAAGATCTTTACTGTGTTTTTAATGTGGATCTATAATAAAAACTGGATAAGGCGTTCCACCTCTGTCCCAGCTAGTGGTCGCTTCAGGTACTGCAGAATTCCCCCACAGAGCGCAATGGATTTTTTGCGAATTCAAACTGCCCGTGTTCGACTGACAGGGCGTCGACAACTTTCGCAAAGGTCGGATTTTGAAGGATTCTTTTCTATTTTCACAACATAAACTTTAAAAAAAAAAAGTTTAAATCCTCAAAGCGCCAAAAAGTGATCTTTGTCAGACTGAGCCTCGCCGCTCTCAGCCGCTCTCGCTCTGTTCAAACGCTTCAAACAGTGTGATGGGTGAGTGGTTTTGTTTGTTTGTTCGTTCACGGTGACTCTGGGCTTTGTTCAGTTGTGGCGTGTAGGGAGGTGCTGTCTGGGACCAACGGATTGTCGGCGTGTTCGCGGTGACTCAGTTGTTCAGTCGTGTCTAGAAGTGGCACATTGCGCTCGTCGCTTTTTCGGTTCGTTCCTCCGTTCCGTTCCTCGTCGGCGTGGAGTGACGAGTGTGTCTGCGGGTGTTTTTCTCCGCCCGGTCGCTGTCTGCTCCGTGTGTGTTTGAGGCTTTGTAGTTTACTGAAGTCGTGCTGGGACACCCGAGTGGATTCCTGTTCTAGAATGTGGCACGCGGTTGTTTTTTGATGGGGTTAGAACCTTAAGAGCGCGTCTAATAGCCCAGAAAATACGGTAAATGCGGAAGAGGGCATAATTTTTGCGCCAATGAGCACAGACCACCGAAAACAACACGACGACATCTTGAGTTCACTTTCAGATCAGATTATTGTTCTATGGTTTTTAAACTCCTCCTAGGCTACGTTTATACGACGACGGTCTAAACAGAAGACGCTAAAGTGGCGTCGCATCTTCACTTTTTACTCCGTGTTTTCAGGAGTAAATCTGCGTGCATACGGTGACGCAAAAGTGTGTGGAATTCGATTGGTTTTGATGCCAGGCGTAATGTAAACGTTTACGTGACCTGAGCAGATCTGAACAGAGTTTTGCGTCTTGGGCAGTGTAGACGGAAACGCTACGGCGGAGCGTGTTCAACTTTTCCACTCTGGTGCGTGGTTCCAGATTTTTGCGTTTTTAAACCTCAAAAACGCCGTCACCGTCTAAACGAAAGGCACTTCCGATAAAATATTTTGTCGTTTTTACCCGCAAGTGTTCTCGCGTAAGCAGACCGTCAAACACCTTCACTAGAATCATTTGGATGACTTCAGTCTTGGAATTACCGATCTCACCTGAAATAAAGGTAAAAGGAGCTGCTAAATTGAAAACTCTTCATGACATCACAAGGTGGAACAGAGCGTTTTGAGCGTTGGAGGTGTAAACAGACCAATAATAAAGAGTTACTCAAACATGTGTGAATGAAACAAAACCCAACTCCAGTTTTGTTTATGTGAAGGAAACAACATTAAAACAAGACTTAAAGCGTAATATATAAGACTTTTAAATTAAGAAACAAAATCTAAAAAAAACAAAAATCGAGTCTGTCTTTTTCTCAAACAAATTCCATCTTGTTCCAGAGTTCAGGACACACACACAGAGGCGCTGGTTTGTGCTCTTGTCCCTTTAACTGTCCCTCCCGCTCCCTCCCCCCTCCAGGAGCGACGCCTGCCCCCTCCTGTGCCCAAAAAGCCGGGTAAAGGCTCCGCCCACCCTCCGCTGGCACGAGACCGCTCCCTGGAGAGTTCGGACAAAAGCCGCCACGACGCCCGCAAGCGCCTCCTAGCCGCCAAACGGGCCGCCTCGGTCCGACAGAACTCGGCCACGGAGAGCGCGGACAGCATCGAGATCTACATCCCCGAGGCTCAGACCAGACTGTAGGGGGCGCCGCACTCCTCCTCACACTGTAACATACACAGCCACAGTCCGCTAGAGTAGGGCACTGTTTGCACCTTTGAACCAGGAAGTACACAGGAACGGCGGTGTTTTATCTCTCATATTTACTGTGGGTCTCTGCGCCGCGGCGTCTGCGTAAAGCGGCGAGGTTTTAGAACAGGAGAAAACGCCAGACTCTGTGAGAAATATATGAAAAAATAACAATCATAAAGCACAATTAAACACAATATATTCACATCTGAAGCAATAAACGTGTGGTTTTTAAAGCAAATATGACAAATTATTTTACGTTATTAGGATCTAAGAGTTGTTTGGTTTGTTTTCATACCTGACACTTTTGACGGAAAAAAAGAACATACCGTATTTTTTGTACTATAAGTCCCTCCAGAGTATAAATCGCACCTGAAAAAAACATATATAAGTCGCACTTTTTGGGGAAATGTATTTTGTAAAATCAGAGACCAAGAGCCGACATTTCAACTTAAAAGGCAAGTTCTAGTAATTATTATTAGTAGTACTAATATTAGTATTAGTATTATTAAGTGATATTCTTTGTTACTCACTTTTTATAAGGGCCACAACATGAAAATATTAATTTAATGAACCCAGAAAATTTTATTATAATTATCTAAATATCTCTTGATTGACCTGGTAACTTTCTGAGAGTAAACACATTTTTTATTTTAATATTTTAACCAAAAAGGAAAAAAAAAAAAAAAAAAAGAAGCAAAAATACATTCGTGAGGCAATTATTTATTTATTTATGTATTTTATTTATTTAACAAAGTACAAATAAATTACGTGAAAGCAGCAGATACTGACAAATGAGCCTAGAGCGCCCTCTGTTGGCTGTCAGTCTGAAAATTTTAATATATAAGTCACGCCGGAGTATAAGTCGCAGGAAACACTCAAACCGTGGAAAAAAAAAAGTGCCACTTATAGTCCGAAAAATACGGTAATAACTTAATAAATCATCGGAAGACCAACCAGCTAATTATTATGGCCCTGTCACACCTCCGACGTACCAGAATTTCCCTAAAATCCTGGCGTACGCTGAACTATCGATGTTTTTTTATATCACTTTTCTGATCAGGTGTCCGCTCAACTGTTTTGTCTCCATGGCGATGTCATAGCTTTGTCTGGAATGTTCCGCAGTTCCGGTTTTAGACGTACAGATCTTGTAATTATCCAGTTACAAGTGTTCTTTATCGCTTTGGAAAAACAACAACAATAAAAAAAACAAGCACTTTTACAGTGAGTGGGGTCGCCTCTCCACAGACCTGACCTGTACCTTGGCCTGGTGACGCCAAACTCAGGTCTCCGCGGGAAGAGATGCGTTTAAAGTCGCGCTGTGGAACATTCCGGGCAAAGCTAAAACATCTTCGTGGAGGCAAAGACGGTGGTTAAGGCTTACATAATTGACTTTTACATGACATTTTAGCCGCGTTTTATCAAGTTTTTAATCGTTTTGGGAGTTTATTTACTCATCGTACAAAAAATGATTGTCGGAATTGCAAAATACACAATAGAAAGCTTTAAAAATTTGACCCCATTGACAGATTTTTTGTCTAATTTAGCCTCGAAAAGTCCAAAATTCTATTAAAATTTGCTGATATAGTTGTTAAATGTACCATCCATGAGTTTATTTTTCTCTGCTCTTTACTACATCTAGTGGTGAAACGTGAGAATGCAACTGGGACGAGTCGGCCAGTCGAATTACAGACAAAAACAAACAAAAAGCAAAAAATAAGGACACAAAAATGACTTAATTAAAGGGTTTTATATCCTCTTAAATAAATATGTTACGAGCCAAAATGGATCGCAACATTTTTAAAAAGTCACACGGACGACAAAGTTAAGAATTGCGTGTTTTGTTTTGTTTTTTCTCAGTATTTTGGACGAGGCAAAGCAAAAGAAAAAACCCTTAATTGCACCTAAAAAAGTAAAATAAAGTAAGAAAGCCGGCCAACATAAAATAAGAACGGAAGGAAGGAAAAACACAACTCCAAAACTTTCTCTACATAAAATAAACAAAAACAGGACGTCCAAACGCACCACTACGAAAAAACAGACGATAAAAAAAAAACAAAAAACGTAACAGCAGCTTTAAAATCACATCTAAACGTGTCGAAACATTTCAATTTTCTACCGTTTCGTGAGAAGTCTGGCCTTTTCTCCGCCTCCCCGCAGAGCCGCCGCGCCAGGGGCCGCTCCGTCTGGTTACCATGGTTACCACAGTCAAACAGGGCATTACTTTAACACCCCCCGCCCCGCCCGTGCTGCGTTCAAGGTCCCAGACTTCGGCTCGGTTCAGTTCCGAGTCGTACGTTTTGATTCGGCGATGCGATCCTCTGAGCTGGGTGCGACGATCCGGACCAAACCGGGTCAAGATCCGGGTCCAGATCCGGGTCAAATCCGGGATAAATACGAGTCTAACCCCCGAACCCAACCTGGCAACGTGTTTGGAGGAGACTCTCTGGTTTTAAAATACAAAATAACGCTAATTTCGCTGATGTTTAAATGAGTTTTGACCACTGCAAAATTGAACCACACGTTTTTATTCGTGGTTCGTTTTTAAATAGTTTTGAAAAGTTTAAGATTTTAGATTTGACATGAAAAATTTTAGTTATTATCTCATTTTTTGACTGATTTTTGGGACTTTAAATAACACGTAGACACATTTTCATATTTACTTAACATGTAACTTTTCGGTTGGAGGGTCTGTCACCTGCTTGTTGCTATGGATACATCATTTCTCTGCCTGGAATGTTCCGCAGTGTGACATTAAACAGCTCTACTTTACATTTATTCAATCACAGGTGGTTTTAGAGCTCAAAAATACTTACAAAATACCTGTAACTCTGTCCGGTTTGGTCTCCATGAAGATAGAAAGGTTTAAAGCCATACTGTGGAACATTCCAGACGAAGAAAAGTTACACAAAACAGTAAAATCTAGACCTACTAAGTGAGGAAATCTGTTGTCAACTCAAAACAAGTTAATCAAAGACGCAATATGGAACTTTTTAGCCAAAATATAAACAAAAACATGTGTCTTGACTGTGAGCGGGCTTGCTTTTCCACAAACCTGACTCAGAACGGCATTAAACATACTGTATTTATATAATATCCATGGAGAATTGGGATGGGACGAGGCAAAATTTCCACAAGACGAGACAAAATACGAGATCGAGTCCACGAGAAAGAGACAAAACGAGATTTTAACGTAATTTCTAATATAAACAAATACATTTCACGATTCTCTTTCCAATTTTTACCTCTTTGGTTTGGATTTTGGGACTGTAAGGCTACGTTCAGACTGCAACAAATCCAATATTTTTCTCCCCTATGCTCCTGTGTCTGATCTTTTAATGACAAAATGCCAAATCTCAGAATGTCCCGGTCGACCATCTCAGATTTGACTGAAAAACTTCTAGGAGGTTCACAAACTTTCCAACAGGAAAACTCCCAAAATTTAGCTCCCAACTCCTTATAGTTTTGTCATTAAAAATATTTTGTCAACTCCTCCCTGACCTGTTTTTGAGCAGAGTTTTGCGAGGAGCCACTTTCAGATTGTTGTATCTAAAAAACTATTTAAGGTCCTTCAAATTTTCAAGGGTTAAAATTTGTCAAATGTACTTGTAGAATCTGATTTATCACAGATTTCTGGGGGCTTGAATTTGCTCGAAAATTCTCCTCTTCAAATCTGAGGGCGTCTTTGAAGGACTGTGGAAAGTCCAGTTTCAAAGACAGAGGTTTGATATCGAATATAAACCTTCCCACACAAGCCACTGTGGACTTCGTATTTTAAAACCGAGCCTCTGTGATGAACGATCTACAAGATATTTGTGTTAAAAATGGAAAAAAAATTAATTTGGTGCCATCTTTACCATGTTATGCTAAAAAAAATGACAGCACACACCAACATAAAATGAACTGTTTTAGAAAGAGTAGATGTCCGTTTTTATTATCCAAAATTTGTGATGGTGTTCTGACTTATTTTTTGCTAAATACATTTTTTAAAAATGTGGCGTGGCACTTTTAGAAGCTAAAAAAACACTCTGAATATTTGACACAGATCTTAAACTCAACAAAAAGTTTCCACCGTTTCTTGGACAATCTGAAAACTTCCACAAAACGCCACGGCCAAAAACCTCGTCCTTCTTCTTCTCGATCTTCAAATTAAAACAAATAAGCTTTAAATGTTCGCCGTGGTGACGTCGTGGACACATTTTCGACGTTTAAAGTTCACACAGTTCGTATTTAATTTGAAACGTGAACGAACTCGCAAAAACCAAAAGGGATTTCTCGAAAAAATCTGAATTGAGCGTTAAGCCCTGCAGTCTGAACGTAACCTAAGACATGCAACGCGCCAATACTAAACGTTTTTGTGCGATTTTTATGTCCAATTTTTCTCACGTGTCCTGATCTTGCGGCAATTTTGTCTCTCGAGATCTCACGGCTTCAGATCTCGCCCCATCCCGAACTGAAAATATCTACAAATAACGTCAAATCCCCGTAGTTTCGCTTCGAGTTTTCAGCCTTTTGCTTGTATTTCCCGTCACCTCGAACCAATTCTCCAACCCGAAACGACTCAAAAACGACGCTCTGGACTCGACCTGAACGCAGCACGGCCCCTTTTTTTACGGTTTTCTTGTTTACATTGAACTCACAGCCAAATGTGTTGAAGAAGCCATTTTTGAATCCTGCTCCCGACAGATACTTTTATAATCAAGGGCAGGACTTTACTTCATATTATTAGACGGTAAACAACCTTACGCTTATTTAAGATGTCTCCCCTCCCTGTACAATTAGAATCTACGTGTATTCAAAGTAGTACCACTATAATGTAAAGTCTATATTTTTAACAGAGATGTGGGATCAAGCCTTAGTTGTGGATATATTTGTACAAAAAGTAAGTGTGCCATATGGATATTATTATAATTATTACTCCCAAATCATACTGTGAACACACATTTTGTACTAGA